TACGCGGAGTATCTGGGGAGCTGGAAGATGAGAACTGGCGACTTTGTGGACAACTTTAGCACGCGGAGTATCTGGGGAGCTGGAAGATGAGAACTGGCGACTTTGTAGTACAACTTTAGTAGGCGGAGTATCTGGGGCGCTGGAAGATGAGAACTGGCGGGCGACTTGGTAGTACAACTTTAGTACGCGGAGTATCTGGGGAGCTGGAAGATGAGAACTGGCGACTTTGTAGTACAACTTTAGTACGCGGAGTATCTGGGGAGCTGGAAGATGAGAACAGGCGACGTAGTACAACTTTAGTACGCGGATGAGTCATCTCTTGCGGCTGCTCTGGCGCCCCTGCAGCTGAGTCATGTCTCCCGACCACCCGGCTCTCTTGAGAGGTTGACAAATTTTAGCTTCTTTGCTTACTCAAAAGTGGTCATTTCGATTACTTTCTGGAGACCTCAAAACACGTGTTTTGAGAGGTTGACATATTTGAGCTAATTAGCTTCGTGTCTAGACAAGCTATCACATCATAGGTAACGTCTAGCTCCAGTTAGCTTTAGTGGAGCTAGAGCTATGCTTCACTCATCACTCATCACTCATGCGTCTGACTGACGGACACGAGGGGCACGCATGGTGGAAAGAACCGGGACACTCCTATAGGTCAACTTGTTCTTATACGAAACTTCCGCCGCCGGCTTGCCCGGGAACTACTTCTAGTAGGTAGTAGTAGTAGCAGTAGTAGTAGTAGGAGTAGGAGTAGTAGTAGTAGGAGGAGTAGTAGCGGTAGTAGTAGGAGTAGTAGTCGTAGTAGTAGTAGTAGTAGTAGTTGTAGTAGCCGCAATCGTAAAAGTTGTTGTAGCAGCAGTAGCAGCAGCAGAAGCAGTAGCAGTGGGAATAGTGGTAGAGGTAGTAGTATTAGTAGTGGTAGTAGTAGTAGTAGTAGTAGTAGGAGGAGGAGGAGGAGGAGTAGTACGAGTAGGAGTAGCGGTAGCAGTAGGAGTAGTAGTAGTAGCAGTAGTAGGAGTAGTAGCAGGTAGCAGGTAGTAGGTAGTAGGTAGTACTCGTAGTGGGCAGTAGGACTGGTACTAGTAGGTGACTGGGAATAGGAGTGGGGGTAGTAGTATAGAGTAGGAGGTAGCGGTGGGAACGGTATGCTAGGTATCGTTTAAATCATGTGTTTGGATGGCTCACAAAACGTATTAGGCATTCCGCCTCTAAATTTTAGCCGTTGGGTGTCTCACAAAATCAAAACTTGCAAAGGGAATGCTAGTCCAAATTTTGCTGCCGTCACAAAAAGGCAATAATCTTACATTGGAATAGCCTTGTCCCTCGTCCGCGCTGCTTACAAAAGGTATTCTATCCTAGAATGGCGCCTTCCACGTCTGGATGTTGCCCTCACGCGACTCACACAAGGCATGCTACATTGGAATGGGAATGGCGCATCACTTCTCTATATTTATCCGCGATGCTCGCAAAAGGAATGTCACATTGGAATTGCACCGTGTTCTCCTAAATTAAGCCCGGGCGGCTCACAAAAGGTATGCTACACGCTACATTGCAATCATTGGAATGGTCCCTTCCTCTTCTAATCTTTGCCCTCGGGTGCCTCAAAAAATTTTTGTAGCGCCACTAGAGGGGACCAGCGGACCGTGGACCAAAGGATCAGGGGACCAAAGGACCAGCTGATCAAGTACTGACTTTTAAACTGGTCATTAGTTATTTTTCATTGATGGGTTAGTTATTGTTTTTTATTCGTTGACTATTTGTTTGACCCCTGTGCCTATGCCCTGCATTATGCCCTTGCTCTATGGGCCTAGGCTGGTCTTTTGCGACAAAGCCGAGTGCCTGGACGGCTTCGCGGCAAAAGCAACCGATGACATGATTGATTTGATGAGACGGCAGCTTGCCATGCTTACGGGTGCATGAACGAAGTAGAGGAAAAGGAAAAACAGTTGAGTTTGCTGTGCTGCGCCAAGTTTTGCCAAGCTGAGGTGCCTTGATAAGCGAGTTGTCGCCAATTACTATTTTGGCCAAAGAACGTTGTGGCCAAACACATGGAAAGATAAAGGCGGGCGAAGCGAAGCGGCTGGAGGTTGTGAGCTGGGTCAGCTAGGTTGCTTTGTTGATTCCATACAGTGAGTTCGGGCAAGACAAAGGCTGTTCGACAAGCGTTGAAGCATTGGCTGGGGCTGGCAGGTACTAGGCTACCTGCCTGTTTGTTTGTGATGGTGATGGTTCTTGTTTTGTTGTTTTTCTGGGTGTATTGTTGCCATGACTTCTGGTCGCTTCTTGCTCCTCTCACTCGCCCGGGACCTGTGGGCGACCCTCAAGGAAACGGTATCGCGGGCATTTTTGGTGGTGAGTGGATGAAAGTCTTGCCAGGAGCCAGGTCCAACCTCCATGAACTGCTCGGCCGCTATGGAATCCAGGATGGGATCCATGCCGTCGCTGGCGCAGAGTCAGGTTGGAGGAACATCTAATGTGACAACGTGCCAATTTCAATGTGCACGTGTTTCTGTGTTCAAGTGCAATGGCATTCCAGACATGAGACACTTGCCTTGACATGTCAATACTCATGTCAATCAGAGTATATAAATTCAATCTGAGTCAGGGCAGAGTACGCTGTTGTGGTGAGTTTTTTGTTTCTTCCTTCAGTATTCCAAGATCTGGATTGCCTTCACCTAGCTATTTGCCAGTCTTGATGTTTTTTCCCACAGTTTGGGCTTCACAACGCTCTTCTTATTCATGGCCCCCCATTCCGACAGACACGCTTTGTATCAGATGCTGTCAGGAAGAGCTCGGAGTATCGGATTACATATGTGTCTTCAAGGCCATAGACCAACAGCCTCCTGTTTGCACGCAGCCTGTGTTGGTGTTTTGAGAACCTGGCTGCGCCAGCATGCTCACCTGCTTCTGCAGCTTCTTTGGATTTCAAGCGATTTATGAGGATTGAGAAGGGCCAATTTTCGGGAGTGACTGGCTTCGTTGCCCAGCCTCTTGTTTGCGATGAACACTTTCAGATGAGATCTGTGCATTTGAACAACAAGCTCAGCCAACACTCTCTAGTGTAGCAGCTGTCAATGTTGATTGTTGACATACGGTTGACCTGTGTTGACATCAGTTGACTGGCCATAACTGGTATGACGGTATGACTGACAAACTCTGCAACGAGTGTTCAGGGGATTTGCGCAGTCTTTCACACCGGATGTCTTGCCTGAAGCACATTCCTGATGACAAGCCTGAATATGGCATCATGAATCAACCGCTGCCTCCCAGTTTCATGTTCAAGTGGTTGTGGGGCCGTGTGATTTGCCGTTGCCGGCGCCATAGCGGTGGTGACAGAGTGGCTGATTCTTCGGGAAGGAGTTCTGCCAGTGTGTCAGCCACTGAAGTGTCCGTTGTGCCAGTGAGCTCAACCCAGAAGACCTTACAGCCTACGGATGGAGCACATTGAGGGACATCCCATATAGGGTTCGTCCAGCTAGCACGTGGTGACTCTCCAGCATGGCGACAAGCTGTGATGCTGGGCACCAAGGGAAGCTGGCTGGAAGTGGTGATCCGAGCAAAACACAAATCAGAAATGCTGGAGGGAATGGCCCTGTTCGAACTGAAGGGAAAAACCTTCTGTCTTCTGGGTTGCCCACAGAGCAAATTTGTGGCCTTCTGCAACGACTCAAAGCATCTCAAGCTAGAGGTGGAGATCAGCGAGTTGGTGAGCTTGGGAAAAGAAGCCCTGGCAAGCGGCGAAAGCGACCTAGCCTTCCTCTCAGCAGGAGAGAGTCCAAAGGAGCCCAAGAAGACCAGCAGAGCAGCAACGCGAAAGACCCTGGAGGAAAGCGAGTGCTCCTCGGACAGCAGCAGCGATCACAGCTCTTCTTCAGAAGACCCAAGCATGGCGAGTGCTCTGGGCAATCTGCGGAAGAACTGGCTAGAGAAGGCTACGCCTGGCGGAAAAAGAAGAAGCAGATTCAAGGACAGCAGCCGCCGTCACACCCTGCTACAACTCAAAGACAAGCCGGGCAGCAGTCAAGATCAGGGTCAGGCAATGTTGAGGCAGCTGGGAAAAGAGGAAGATCCCATAAAAGCCTGGATAGCTATGCAGATCTACAAGGACATGCAGAAGACCCAGCATCGACGTCGAGACCGGCGTTGGCGGGACAGCAGCCAAGACAGCTCGAGCGAGAGCGACCTCAGCCAAGATGGAGAAGCAAAGCCTCGACGCTCTGGTGCTGGAAAAGCAGTAGAAAGCTTCGAAGCCTCAAAGCGGCGCATGAAGCGGAACCCGCTGAAAGTGGTAGGTCGCTACGTCAGAGACCTCGAGAAAGAGCTTGGGGCGGAGGGCAGACCATTTCGCATCCACGAAGGCTCACGTCGAGTCCCGTGGGGAAAACAGAAGACACTACAACGCATCCATTACATGCTCTCAGAGATCTTGGAATTGATGCTGGCCGAACGTTGGGATCGTGCAGCTCTGCAGACAGTCCTTTGCCTCAAAAGTGTTCACCAGGCAGCGCTGGATGGCGGAGACTGGCAGGTGGCATGGCTTCTGTGCCACCTACCCGACCCGGTGCAGAAGGTGCGGTTCGGCGGCACCGTCGACGAACTGGGCCAAGTGACATCGTACCTCAAAGGGATCGCGGATCTCGAGAAGAGTGCAGATCGTCTCCGTCAAGCGTCATGGAACAGCAGTGCCACAGGCTGGGACCAGTCAGAAACTTCCACCAAAAAGGACAAAAAGAAAGGGTCAGGAAAGGGAAGGACTCCAAAGAGACAGAGAATGCCTGAACAATCACACTAGGGACATGAGACATGACTTTGTGAAGCCAAAGTCTAATTCGATCCTTGATATCCTCGCTTCCAGTAGCGGGGCATTTGGTCGGTTTTTCAGAAAGATGCATGGAAAGTCATCTCATGACTTGGGGCATAGGACTTCCTCTTCACCGGGGAAAACCGCAGGACTTTTTCCGTCCCGCCTGGTCGTGCCAGATTCAGTTGTGGCAGCCAACGATTCATCGAATCGTACGGGGGGGCGAGGCCAAGATCTAAGCTGGAGATGGACTCAGATGCTTTGGTGTTTGTTTACTTTTCTAGACGGGGGATGTCCAACATCCGAGAGGGATCAAATTGGCTTAGCTAGGCAAGCATTCATGAATCCATGGACTGATCAACATGAATCACAAGCCGGCTGTTTGCATGGTGAAATTATAAGGTTCGTTAAGCTTAGATGCCCAGAGACTTTAAGCCGAGGAACTAAACAATTAAGTGAGATTTTTCACAAAATTAGACCGCATGATTCTTGCTATGACCATCATCCCCCTTTCAATCTCGATGAACTCATGAACAACGCAACCTTCGTAAAACCTGATCGCATGTCATTACCTTCACAAGCAGGAATACTCGACCCAAAGGACTTCCTCAAAGGGACACACCGTAAGCTTTTCATGAACATGCATGAATGGGCGCCACACGATGAAGCACCCTGTAAGCCGACTAAAGCGGTGTTTAAAGTGCTGCCCGATGACAAGGACGCGGTGTTTGAAAAACTCCTTGCATCAGGTGTAGCATGTCTTTTGCCAGTGGACCGTGCTCTTCGCGATGCAGAAGGGAACGTAATCTCAGGTGGACTGTTCGCAGTTCCACACAAGGCAGACAGCGACTGTGTGATTTTGGACCGTAGGCCTCAAAACGAGCTCGAAAGACGTTTTGTAATGGCAGAATTACCCCATGGAAGCCTTCTCACCCAACTGATTATTCCGAAGGGTTATTCGATTCGAGGGTCCGGTGATGACCTGTCAAACTTTTTCTACCTACTGTACTACACAATAAGGAATGGCTTGGTAGGAACTGCGTCGGAAAACCTTTTGATTGTAAGAATTTCAAGGAATGGGGTGGGGAAGCAGGCAAGAAGTATATAGTATATGCTTGCGTTCAGGGTGATTCCCATGGGTGATCGTAATGCCGTAGACCTAGCCCAAGAGACACACCGCCAACTCCTAAAAGATTGCGGCACTATGGATGAGTCGGAAACCCTGGCATACAAAAAAGTTGTTCCAGCGACCCATACACTAGAGGGGTTATACATAGATGATCACTTGATGATGCAAATCCTCCCCTGCCGAAAATTACGAAAACGGAAGCACAATTACCGAGATGAAGAGATCATAAGTAAGAGCAGGGAAAAATATGCATCGTTAGGACTTCCCGTGTCATCCAAAAAGCAATTCACAAAGTGCTCAAATTTCACGGCATGGGGCACCAACGTGGACAGCAAATCCGGAAGAGTAGGGGTAAGTTTAGACAAACTAAAAAGCCTTTCGGAGCTGATTCGCGAAATATGTCTTACCTGTCGTGAACCAGAAACTCATGCAAAAAGCTGTAGGATTGTTTGTTCACCCCCTTACGCACCGTCGGTGGTTGATGTCACTACTCCAAGAAGCATATCAGTTCATAGGAAAAATGGACCCTAAAAAGATGTACAAAATGCCAAACGCAGTTAGGGAAGAGTTGCTGTGGTTATGCCTTTGCACGCCCGTGATGCACGGCAATGCTAGGTGGCCTGTCAGCTCTCGTGTCGGTTGCAGTGACGCTTCGCTGCAAGGTGGAGGGAGAGCTCATGTCTTACCAGTACCGCAATTGCTCAAACGCTGTTCAGGTACAGCGAACATACTGGTGAACATGTCCGCATGGATTGGTCAACAGGTGCTCTCATCCCACCATCACAAATGCGTGAAGCGCCGGCAGAAGTTGAGAGCTTGATGAACGCACACTGCTGGACCACAAGCCAGATGTGCAAGTTTAGCCATCGTCAGCACATCAACATCCTTGAAATGCGCATGGTAAAAGCTGAACTCAAAGAACTGGTAAAACACGGTGGTGACCCTCAACGTTGTGTGTTGTTGGTTGATTCGAGAGTAGTGGTAGGGGCCTTCGGAAAGGGGAGGTCGTCATCCAAGCAGCTGAATCGATTGCTTAGGTCCATGGTCGGTTGGTCCATTGCAGGTCAAGTATCATTACATTTGGTATGGGTAGGAACTAAGAGTAATCCAGCTGATCATCCATCCCGTGGCGTTCCAATACCTCCACCAGCAAAAAATGATCCAGTTTTGACGGCGCAACTTGGATTCACGAGTGAGTCTGAACGAGCAGCCTTGCAGGTACGCAGATCTAACCGTGAAATAAACCGAAGAGCCAAAACTGCGAGGCTAGACCCGTCCGAAAAGGCCATATGTGAATCCAAAGTGCCGGGTGCAGAAGCAGGAGCGCGAAAGCATCCTGCGTTGAAGAGCTGGACATTCCGTGAGATCTTTGCGGGGAAAGGTGAGCTGACGCGGACGTTCAAGCGCCGCGGTTTGTTACCTGTAGACGACCCCTTGAGTTGATCCAGAGAGGTAAGCCGTGTGAAAACATGACATTCTTAACCCTAAAACGTACGCACAGCTTTGTCAAGATGCCAAAAAACAAAAACAAATTTGGCACTTTGGGATGCCTTGCGGAAGCTTTTCGATTCTACAGGGTTTGAATCAAGGGACACGTAGTAAAGACAAGCCAGAAGGTGATGGGAGTCTTGAACGCGAGAGAAAAGGTAACTTGATCTTGTTGCGAACATGTCATCTCTGTCGGTTACTACATGAACACGGTTCTTTCTTCACAATCGAAAACCCCAAAAGCTCATACGCTTGGTATATGCCGAGACTGGTTGAACTGCTTTCCGAATGTAAAGGTACTAAGGTAAACTTGGACCAGTGTGAATATGGGTTGCGCATTCCAGATGACAACGGTAAGCATCTGCCAGCCCGAAAGTCAACCAGCTTTGCAGGGACCGTACCTGATTTGATGTCTCTCCACAAGACATGCTGCCAGAAGCACAAGCATGTTCAAGTGATTGGTAGCGTAAAAACAAAAGGAGGATGGCGGAGACGGTCAGTTCTTGCAGGCGCCTATCCCCAAGCGTTGTGTGAGCGCTACTACCGCATGTGCTTGAAGCTGTTTGAC